CTGACCCAGATGTAGGAGCAGCCTGGGAGGAAGTGGTGAAACCTCTTTTCAAAAGGTCCCCTTAACAGCCAGAGGGGGTTGGGGGCGGCTCAGGTAGAGGTGCTGACTGCCTTCTGAGCCGCTCCATTGCTTTTTCAAGGGTTTCCTCAAGGTCGCCTGGAGAAGGCAGCTTTCTTGGCAGGAAGCAATTAGGACAGAGGAAGGCGGCTGACCAGCCTCAGGGTAACCATGAACCAGAGGAGGCTGCTTGGAAGTCTGACTCAGTAGCCTGAGAACCTGGAGTTGCTGCTCCCAGCAGAAGCCACACTGTCGGGATGGGAAGTCCTGTCTGCTACCTTCCCAGAGATGCAAACGGCCAGGGTTACCTTCTTGTCAAATGCCTCATGATCTCTCACCAGGCAGGTGGCTGCACCTCCTACTTTGAGCCTTGCCTTCTACCTCACCTACAAGACAGGCTGACCTTTTTAAAGCACACATCATGCCAGCTTTTCAAGGGCTCTTCCCCTCCATCATGATCGGTTACATAAATAGCCCTCAAGGCCCTGCATGATCTGTCACCAGTGACCCAAGAAGCCTTAATCTTAAATTCCCATTTTCCTCCTTCCATCCTGGATCCCTTCCCTGTGCTCTCTTAGGCTAAGGTATTCATCTAAGCGTTGCTCTTGTCTGGGCCACTGGTTCCCCTTGTCTCAACCCCCCTCATGATTACATGATTTATCACAATCAGCGAACCTTCCTGTGTGGTTCCCTGGCAGCCAGGCCAAGCACATTTAAGTCTCTTATGGTTTGGATATGAAGTGGGGACCTTGCTGGAGACTACACCAGTAGGGATGGATCATTCTGGGTACAGTGTCCCACTACCAGGACACCCCACCTCTTTGTGGAATCTGAAACAATGGGTGTTTGTTCCAGCTGTCTGACTGAGCCGTGTAAGCCAAAATAAAGTCTTAAGTCCTTTAACGTCTTCCTGATGGATATTTTGTCACAGCTACACAAAAGTGACTAATACAATCTGCTTTCCTCAACAGATGGAAAGGAAGACTCAGAGAATTGCTGTTCTACACCAGAGGGTGGGGGCGGGGAGCTTGAACTCAGATGTGTTGACATCAAAGCCATTGCTTATTGTGCTTTCTCAGCTATTGGAGCAAGCACAAATGTGAAAGGGGACAGCAAGGGTGGAGATAGTCAGAGGGAAAGATCCAAGGGGAGAGATGTTTACATGAAGAGCTGGTACAGGTGCCACAGGTCTCACTAAATTCCAGAAAATGGGGCCTGGTCTGCAGGGACAGGATACTCAGGAGAGCAGCTCAGATATGAAGATGCCTAGAGCCCTGATTCTTAACCTGCGGGTAATGACCCCCTTGGGGGGGTCAAACAACCCTTACTCGGGGGTCACCTAAGATCATCAGAAAACAGATATTTACATTATGATTCATAACAGTAGCAAAATTTCAGTTAGAAATTTAGCTAGAGACAGGAGGATGGCTGTGAGTTTGAAGCCAGTCTGGTGTACATAGGGAGTTCCAGGACAGCCAGGACTACATAGGCAGACACTAGTTCAAAAACCAAGCAAACAAAAAGTAACAAGGAAAATAATTTTAGGTTTGTGGGTCGCCACAACATAAGAAAGTGTATTAAAGGGTCTCAGGACTTGGAAGGCTGAGAACCAATGTCCTGTAGGGTCTGTTGGCAGTTTATCATCTGAAGAGGTTCTAGACATGGAGTTTAAGAGGGCAAAGCTAGGAAATCCCTACAGCCATGATCTCAGGGAGACCCGTGCAAGCTAGAAACACAGAGAGGACAGTGGGGGATCAGCTCTCTAACCCTTCACACACAGGGTCTAAGCAAAGCTCTGAAAGGGACTGAATGTAAGTCAAAGTGGGATGGATCCTTTGATGGCTTGGGACAGACACCCGGTCCTATCATGTGAGTAAAGAGGCATGAATTAGGCAGGACGTCTGTCTCGGTGCTCAGGAGACTGAGGCAAGAGGATTGTCTTGAGTTTGCGGCCAGCTTTGACTACACAGTGAGCTCTAGGACAGCTTTAGCTACTCTGTAAGACTCAAAAGAAACAAACAGCAGAAACAAAACGTGAACGAAAGCACAAGTTAAACAAGCTTAAGGGAACAAGGCTTTTTGGCTCACATAATTAGAAGTTCAGGTCCCACTGGATCTGGAGGCTCAGTGTAGCACCCTCTCCCACTACTTCTTCTCTCTCCCCTCTCCTTCTCCCTCCTCCCCTCTCGAACTTCACTGTCATACACAGGCTTCTCTGCATTCCTTCACCTGCCACAGGGAAAGTCCTCTCTTCAGCTCACACTGCCCCCTGTTAAAACCCCAAGGGGTTTAGGTGGGCATGGTAGCACACGCCTTTAATCTCAGCACTCAGAAGGTAGAGACAGGAGGATGGTTGTGAGTTTGAAGCCAGTCTGGGGTACATAGGGAGTTCCAGGACAGCCAGGACTACATAGTGAGACACTAGTTAAAAAATCAAGCAAACGCCGGCAGTGGTGGCACACACCTTTAATCCCAGCACTTGGGAGGCAGAGGCGGGCGGATTTCTGAGTTTGAGGCCAGCCTGGTCTACAGAGTGAGTTCCAGGACAGCCAGGGCTACACAGAGAAACCCTGTCTGGAAAAACAAAAAAACAAAACAAACAAAACAAAACAAAAAACCAAGCAAACAAAAAACAACAAAACAAAAACAAACAACAAAAGTGGGGGAGGGGAACAAGTCTCCCAGCATCCGTATGGCTGCCCAGAAGGTGTAACCCAATCACTCCTCTATCAGTCAGTTAAGTCCAGGGAAACAGTAAACAGCGGACCCAAGCTTGGCACATGCTACTCCTTGAGCACTGGGAAGACGGGGCTTATTATCATAAATGGCTGAGGAAAGTAGTGGCATCAAGCAAAACAATGGCTACCAACTTCCTTCTCTGGGACACCTGTTGTGCCAGCAGGAAGAACCCCATGGGAAACTGAGCTAACCCATTTTCAGGACTCCAGCCTGCTGCAAGGAGTTATTAGCCACTTCTCAACCAAACCCCGTTCATTCAGCCTTTAAAGAGAGAATGCCATGGAAATCCAGAGGGAACCACAATAGCCAGGGCTTAAGAAGCTGTGACCAGAGACAGCGCCCTCTCAGGGCGGCAGGCTTCTCTCATGGGGTCTTCTCTGTCCATTCCTCCCCATATTCTACTTCACTCTGCTCACAAAGGCTTCTTTCTGTCCACATCTCTCTGTTTCAGATGGCGTTTAACCACTCTGCAGAGGCTCAGTTAGGCAGACGGCTACACTTTATAGCACCCTCTGTCATGCTTGAGGTTGACCACCCAACCCCACATTCTAAAGAAAAAGAAATTTGACTTTCCCTGGTCATCTTTTCAAGCCAGTCACACATACAGATCCAAATTAATGGAATTATGTAAACAAAATTCTCTCTCTCTCTCTCTCTCTCTCTCTCTCTCTCTCTCTCTCTCACACACACACACACACACACACACACACACAAACACCAATCCATCCAAATCTGGAAAAGGATACATCTGAACTTACTTCCCCAATCTTATCATCATTTTTTAATTTCCCCTCTTTGACCTAAATCTATGCTACTGCTTTTCCAGGGGAGATATCTCTATTCGCTCCAGATAAAGGGTGCTACCCAAAGTGATCCCATCCAAGCTTGGCTCACTGAGCCGGTGAGTTCACTGGGATTACTTACAGGTGTGTGGGTGAGGGTTATTTACAGGAATCTGAGCAACTCTGGAAACCTCGTCACCAAAAAGCCCAGCATGCGTGCTGACTCAGGAAAACTGAAACATTGGAGTTCCCTGTGTGACCTGCAGGCAGCTACACCACCAAAGGTGCCCTTCTTCTCCCCAAAAGAGAGTTACTTTGATATTTATGTAATTCGGAGGGGACCCTAAGTCTTTAAAATTCCTTGGGCTTCCTGAGTCTTGTGAGTTTCTTGGGCCCCGGAGCCTCCCAGGAGGGAATGTTTCAATCAGGAGGAAAATCCCTACCGAACAAAGTTTACTTGGTTCCTTCTAGACATGCTGGAGGCTGGACAGACTTCACTCTGTCCCAGGTCCCAGGCAAAGGAACCTCAACACCACCCACCCACCCACCCTCAGCCACACCAATGTTTTTCAGGCATCTCCAATCCATGTCTGAGAGATGGCTGTGCCTTGAGGCAGATAGTTCAGAGCTATGCACTAACGTAAATAATACTCTGAAATTCCAAAATGCTAGGCTAAAATTCTTTGGGTCCCAGACCCCATTCCGCCCTTCCCTGCCTCCCGCTACCTCACAATTGTAGCCACCCCAAGTTCAGCAACAGGGACTTGGAAATGCACGCCCTCTGCTGGCCAACAGGGGAACCGACATGAACCCAGTTTCCGAGTCCCTTGGAATCACTCTTGACTGCGTCGCCCCTTAGGCGAGCATGACATCGCCTTAGATTCAACAGCCCCTTCGCCTGTGTGTGTAAGAACTGTGCCCCACACTTCCCCCTACATGTAATAAGTCTTCCTGTTCATGAACGGAGCTGTCCATCCAACACTCCCCGGGGCCAAGAATAGACTGGAATTTGGAGAAAGGCGACGGATCACGCAGAGTCCGATGCTGGCATCTAATGGGGGTAGGGGACCTGTTAGTTTGAAGGAGGCTTACCTTTTCTACTTAAGGAATTACCGTGTTAGGGGGAAAATGTTAGGCTTCCTCTTCTCTCGGTGCCCTTGAACTTCATCCCCACAACCCCGAATCTGCAGTACCCTACAAGCCCGCCTCCCCTCGGCCTGCTCCAGAAAGCCGACTGCACTTGCTCCCCATTTGCTTCAGACCTGGGTCGGTCGAGGAATCAGAGTTCCCCTCAATGCCAAGCAGGCGGCTTTGACCTGACGGTCCCCCACCCCCGGCGGGCGGGGCGGGCTCACTCGCACTCCCTCCCGGCCCTGCCCGCCTGCCTCTCCCACTCGAGACGCGCCTCCCTCCTGCAGCCCAGTCCCGTGAGCTCCGCGTCTCCGCCGCTGTCTTCTCCTCCGGGCCGGATCGGATCCGAGCCGGAGCATGGAACCAGGGCAGCCCCGGGAGGCTCGCGAACCCGGGCCAGGGGCAGAGACCGCCGCAGCGCCGCGCTGGGAGGAAGCCAAGACTTTCTATGACAACCTCTCGCCCAAGAAGAAACCCAAATCGGTAAAAGCAAGGCTTGAATTTGGGGGGACACGGGAAGGGCCACTTCCAGGGAGGGGTCTCAAGTCCTCTGGGAAGGGACTTGTGGAGCCCCCCTCTCGAAGGTGACACGGCTCCTCCACCCCAGAATGTGCCCAGCAGTTGGCTGGGGCTCCAGTTTATTTTGGGAGCTCTGCTATAGTGGCAGTGGTTCTCCCCCCCCCCCGCCCCCCATCCCGGGCTCAGGTTCTACTCCAGAATATCCCTCCCCCATGCTGTCATCAGGGGCCTATCCCCTCCCGGCGCTGGCAGCCTGAATGCGCGGACCGCACTTGTTGGCTGAGCTGGTCAGCAACCCGGGCAGCAGTGCCCTGGGCTCCGTAACACTCGACTCTGGGAACCCGGCTGCTCGCTGGTTCCATCTGTGCAGCCAGCTCAGCTTCCAGACCCAAGCCTCAGCGTTTGGGCTCTAACTGCAGACCCAGACCCCAGGGAACGATTACTTGCTCCAGGCTCAGGGCTTTGCTCCCAGGCTCTGAGCTCCCAACTCTGGGCTTTGCACCTTAGACATTACTTCTGATCTCAGTAGAGGCATCAGCCCTTTGCAACTTCACACAGAGGCAAGCATTCCTCTTCCTCTATTAGGCAAGTTCATAATACCTTAGCGTTGTTCATGCCTCTCCACCTTAGACCCAGGAATTTGGGCAAGGGACTGAGAATAGAAGCTGACCCAGAGGCATTACACAAGGACCTCCAGTCTGACCTTAAAGCATCCCACTGTTTCACTACGATGACTTTAGCCAGGAGGCTACCCCATCCACAGTCACCTCTAGGCCTTGGCTCATCCTGGTGACAGAGATATTAAGCTGTGGCCTGCCTGTCTCAGGAGTTTGGAGTGTGCCCACGGAGGCTCTAGAGATGGTGGATTCTCAGGTTAAAGATCCTACATGCTGTGTGAGCTCTGGGGAAGGGGCTACTGCCACCAGGAAGGCTTTGGGGGAGGAAAAGGCCTTGGAGCTGATTTTAAAACTTCAGTGGGTGGGGCCTCCTGGGAGGGCGGGGCGGGAGAAAGAGGGAAAATCAGGGAGCTGTCTTTGAAGCTCAAGACCTTGTTTAGAACCCATACTGGGAGGGAAATGCAGGATCATTGGGGGAAGTATTACAAGGACTCAGAAGGCCCCCAGCCCAGAGACAGGTCTGATGGAGTACCTTGTGAAAGGGCCCGGACCTTATTTAGTAGGATTGAGACTTTCATGCTGGGTTCTGTGGAACTCGGTGTCTCAAGCAGTCTTCAGACCCGTGAATCCAATTTCTTTCTTATTAGAAAAATACTTTAAATATTTGGGGGGAAAAGGCAGCTCTTCCCATGTTTAAGTAGCTAGGGGTGCAAACTGGACTCTCTCAGAATTGTGCAGAAACATAAAAAGAAATTGGCTGGATATTGAAGCTTCTTAAGTCTGTGGTAGCGCCCTACCTAACTCCTGCTTTCAACTGTATTGTCATCCAAACTGTTGAGGTTTTTTTGTTTTGTTTTTGTTTTTTGTTTTGGCTTGGTTTTTTGAGGCAGGGTTTCTCTGTATAGCCCTGGCCGTCCTGGAACTCACTCTGTAGACCAGGCTGGCCTCAAACTCAGAAATCTGCCTGCCTCTGCCTCCCAAATGCTGGGTTTAAAGGCATGCGCCACCACAGCCTGGCGGTTTTTTTTTTTTAAGACCTATTTATTTTATATATGTCAGTATACTGTTGTCCTCTTCAGACACACCAGAAGAGGGCATCAGATCCCATTACAGTTGTGAGCCAGCATGTGGTTGCTGTGAATTGAACTCAGGACCTCTGGAAGAGTAGTCAGTGCTCTTAACCACTGAGCCATACCTCCAAACCCCAAAGTGTTGTTTTATTGATTAGTTTTGTAACAAATGCATTTATACAGATGCATAGATATAAAAAATGAATTGTAAAATACACTTACAGCAGTTATATATTTGGCTTACCCATGTTGGGTGGTTCTGCCTAAGAATTCATTTGACTAAAAGGTCGACCTACCTTTAAAAATATGAACATCATAATGGAACTGTTGCAGGATCCTTTTTTTATTCTTTAGCAGGGATTAACTTGGTTCCACTTTCATTTTATGAAGATCACACTGAGCTGTTTTTCGAGTGGATTGCAAAGGGCGGGTCTGGCAGCAGTCATGCTACTGAGATAGCAAAGCTGGACTAAAAGTGTCTGGGCCTGAGGATGGGGAGGAGAGACTGCTGGAAAACAGGAGAGAACCTTCAGTGTTCCAAAATCCACTTCCTCCCCGAGCATCAGAGAACCAGGCTAAGATCAGTCATGGTCCCTTCATTGGCCCTTGAACCCTGGTCTGATTAGGTGAAGTTCCCAGCTCCTGTCTTTCCTGCCATAGCCCCTCCTCCCATGGGCTATTTTGGGGGTTGTAAGCCTCATGGGCCCCATCGAGGCCTGGTCTGGCCTCATTTTCATTCCCAAGAGCTTGAATAAAATATTTAACCTAGTGAAGGCCATCAGAGACCCTCACCTCTTGGGGTCAAAGGCCTTCACCCAGAGCTATCCTGTCCTCATCTCTCCCAACATCCCTCCTGTGTCCTTCCAGAAATAACAGCTTCTTTGGCTACATTCCTATCTTGAGTGTAGTAGGCCGATTGTTGGTCTAAGTGGAAGCTCCACAGGCAGACCAGTGAGGCTGGGCTGCCCTCTGTTTAATTCTTCCACCCTCAGCCCCAAGCCACAGAGATCAGCCTAAATCCCAGAGAGCTGGCAAGACCACGGCTCTCTACAGCTCAGCACTCCCAAGCTGAGACCCTCAGTTGTTCTGACTCAGTTCCTAGGCTGGAATGGACTTTCTGATTTTGGTGCACACATGACCAGAATGCTAAGAAACCTGGGATGAGAGGGTCAGGCTACAAGGGCTCAGCTTCTCCAGGCTCTGGACAGATCTGGTCACTGTCTCTTCAGACCCACTTGTGGGCTGGACAACTTACAGAGGCTTGTGTTCCTGAGACTCACCTTGATTATGTTGTAGCAAAGTGACTTGAACAGGAGACGGGATCCTGTCCTAGGGACTGTCATTTTTCAAGGGAAGAGTCTCCCACCATGAAACCTCAACAGTACTAGGGCACAATGCTTCTCATCATTTCTTCCAAACACAGAAAAGGAGGTTGGGATGTGTCCAGGCAAGTTGTTAAAGTAAAAGGTGGAGGCTTCTGGAAGGATCATAGCAAGGAAGCTTTACACAGACAGAGGCCAAACTGGAGGCTAGAGACGTAAGATGTCACCTTGACTTTTTGTGTGAACAATACCCTGACCCTCTCTAGCCCTCTTTCCTCCTCTGTGAGAGGAAAGCAGACACTCCAGGGGCCAAGGCAGTCAAGACATTTTCCTTGCAATGGCCAGGAGTGGGATCTGAGAGAGCCTGGTTAACTCACCCAAAGGAAATCCAAGACCAGCAGTGTGGCAGGGCTGTGGGACAGGACAGGAAGTAAAGAAGAACAAGGCTTTGGCTGGCTGCATGGTCTGGAGCCAGATTCGGAGCCTGCCTGAAGTGGATGGAGGAAAATGGATTCTCTGTCTCTTCAGGAATAACAGCTTCATTCCTAAGGTTCCCAAGTGATGATAGGGTTGAGAAATGCCCCGCCCAGAACACACTGGCACACAAGTAGTCAGAAACCGGCTAAAACATTGGGCTGAGCTTCAGAGGAGGGATGCCATCTTCCACTGGCCCTGCTGGCCACCTGTACAACCTTGGTTATAGTTAAAAGCCAAATACAAGCTGTGGCCAGCTACACAACTTTATGGAAATTTTTATTTTTTCCATTCCTATTCTGAGAGGCTCTGAGGCTTCACTGGCCATTATCTACAGGAAACTACTTAAATTCATTAAAATTAAATCAATTTAGGGACCAGGAGATGGCTCCATCAGTAAAGTGCCAGGCGTACGAGCCCAAGGAACCTGAGTTTGGCTCTCCAGCAGTGACCTGAAAGCCATGTGTGACCGTGTCCACGATGGACCCAGTGGAGACTGATCTCTGGTGTTCAGAGCTCACTGGCCAGCCAGTCCCACCAGTCAGTGTGCTCCAGGTTTAGTGAGAGACCCTGCCTCAAAAAAAAAAAATACAGCGGAGAATAATAGAAGAAGAAAATACCTGACATCCACTTCTGGGCTCTACACACAAACATGCACTCATACACACACACATTTTTTTCAAAGCGAGTGACATTAGAGCTCAAATCTGCATCGTCACCAGTCACATCTGAAGTTCTACACAAACACAGCACAGTTTATAGAGCATTCCCACAAAGTCCTGTCTTCTAGAGCTGCCCAGGTCACAGAGAAGTGCTGTCAATGTGTTCCCGGAACACTCATACTCTGATTTTCCCAGAGATTAGGAAAGGTCCAGTGTCTGTGCTCGGTGGCATGGTCCTCTCCCGTCTTCTAAAGGACACCCTGGATATCTGCATGGATGAGCCAGAAGCTCTTTGGGGACAGGACTCAAACCTATCGTGCTTCCTAATGTCCCCAGCTTAGCATCAATCAGTGCTGCAATCAGCTCGAGCCTAGCAGTGGGTTGAATACTTCATCCACAAGGTATCACGAACAAGCAGAACCACTTATAGGTCTTGGTTTCAGTTTAAGAACCTCTCTTCTCACCTGTAAACTAGAGATCATGATGCTAGGACTGCCCCATTCACAAAGAAGTGGTGTCCATGAGTTTCCTGCACACCCGTATTCTGATAATCCCGAGAAATCAATCGGGGTCCAGCTGCTGTCCATGGTGGCACACTCCTCATTGCACCCGACATAAGTCATGTGTGTTGGTCCATTTGGGCTACTGTATCAAAGGGCCACACACTGGTGGTTTATACTGTAAACAGTACAGATTCCTTTCTTGCAGTTGGGGGTGGGGGGTTGGGTGTCCAAAATTAAGGAGCCAAAAGACTGGGGGTCCTCTTCCTCACTTAAAGGTGATAGCTTCTCACTGTGTCTTCACATGGCAGAGTAGTCAAGGCAAAGTCTGGTAGCTTTTTTTTTTTTCCTAAGAAAAGTCCTAACCACTCCCAAAGGCCATATTACCCCCTTTAATGCGATCTCATTCAGGATCAGAGTTCATGAGATGTGGAGGGGATACATTCAGATATGGCAGCTGAGGAGTAGTGCTAAGACCCTCTTGCGAGGGGCCCCTTTGAAATCCAGGCCCCTGCCTGTCCTTCTGGGCTCGCCTATACTCTCCCTTGCCTTGGCCTCTGTTCAGTTTTGTGAAGGCTTCTGGTTTGTGCTCACCAGTCCTTGTGGCCTCTTCCTTCAAGGTCTTCCTAAAAGGTCCCCTCTCCCCTAATGACTTCTCCTGAAGGCCAGTTACCAAGACCTTGCTTCCACCTTCTGTCACTGAAGCCTCTCCTTTTGCCTCTTACTTCTGTTTGCTTGTCTGCTCCCCCATCCTCTGGTGAGCTCTGAGGACAGGAGTCACAGCTTCCAACCAGAACCCTCCCTCAGCAGAGCTGGGTGAGGGCAAACTCACAGAGGAGCCAACTAAAGTGGCCTTCCAGAGCAAGAGCATGCTATAGCCAGACAGAGGGGATAGGATATTTCCTATACACAGTAACCAAAAGGAACATCAGGTTCAAGAGTCAAAGTGCAAGGGGACGGTGTGTAAACATGTGAGCAGGGTGAGGTTGTGAAAAGCTGAGGAAGAGGAAGCTGAGGGTAGAGAGGAAAGAAAGGTCTGTTGCAAAGGACTTCTTGCTATGTAGGAAAGCCTGTCTGCTTGATTCTGAGCCACTGGAGGGGCAAGCTGTGATCACATCTGCACTTCAGACAGATCCTCTGACAATCTGAAGAGAGTGAGAACTGATGGTGGACTGGGCTGCAGAAGAGAAGAAAGAAGTGGGTAGATTCCAAGCATGGGTGGCTTTGACCATTAGTCAATGAGGAAGGGAATGGGGAAGGAGGGGGAGTGAAGGTTTACTTCCTGGCTGCGGTTGTCTGATAATGCAGTGATCTGGATGACTAGGTGTGGAACCGGGCACAAGATGAGGAAAGAGGGAAGAGGCTGGGTTTGGAGGTGAGGGTGAGGGATTCCGCCGCAAGCACTGTAAGTTGGAGTGTCTGTTGGTTGACTGGGGCAGTTAGATACACGAGTCTGGAGCTCAGGAAACAGATCCAGGCTGGAGATATTTTTTTCTTATATAATTACTGTGTTTCTGGGCACTGATTTCTTCCTGGGGGCATGCAGCTCTTCCTTCATAATGGAAACCATTTGGGAGTCATCTAAATGTGGCCACACTTTGGCTACATACATTGTACTCATTTTTCTCTGGTGTCCAGATGGCCAACAATATCACAAGCTCCCTGAGGGGATGCCCCTCCTTCCCATCACACTTCTAAATAGAAAGCCAGTCTCCAGCAGGGTCCAGCTCAGAGTCTGCCTCGGCCCAGGCAGAGCCTTGGCCTTCCCATGTCCCAGGGTCCAGGAGGAGCTTGCACAGGTGCACCTGGCTCAGGATGAGTCTGAGTAACAGCCTGTTCTACTGTCCCTCCCTCCTACAGCCAAAGCCTCAAAATGCGGTCACCATCGCGGTGTCCTCCAGAGCCTTGTTCCGAATGGATGAGGAACAGAGAATCTACACGGAGCAGGGTGTAGAGGAGTATGTGAGATACCAGCTGGAGCACGAGAACGAACCCTTCAGCCCCGGGCCTGCTTTCCCCTTTGTGAAGGTGAGAGGGTATTTCCTGAACCCACCCACAGAATGCCTTTGTCAGAAGCTCTGCCTGGCAGAGGCAATCCCATAACTAGAGGACTGAGCCTTTGTGGGAAGAGGCCACCCTCCTCGGGACTGATGGAGCCCAGGCTGGGTAGCCAGTTTGAGGAGCCATCTCCCCTCCATCCACCTTTAACAAAGAGCCTCCGAGTAGTGAACAACCCACCTGATGGTGGAAAAATGTCGTTAGTAGGTGGTGGAATGGACAGATGTCATTCCACCAAGTCAGTCTCTAGGCTCCCCTCTCTTCCTCACTGCATCCCTGACCACCGACTCCACTTGTCCATTCCGGAGACTCTGACCTGGAGTTTGCTGTCTCCCTGTCAGGCCCTGGAGGCTGTGAACAAGCGACTCCGGGAGTTGTACCCCGATAGCGAAGATATCTTCGACATTGTCCTCATGACCAACAACCATGCTCAAGTGGGAGTTCGTCTCATCAACAGTATCAACCATTATGGTAAGCGTGGGGCAGGCGAGCATGGGATGCCCTCCCGTACACACTCCCGGCAGGAGGCCACACTGCTGCAGGGTCAGGCTGGGTCGGACTATCCTGATTGCCATCCTGACCCCAGCGATGTGCTGCTAACCTGGCACTGTATTCCATTGTGTTGTATTTTTAACTGCAGTCTTTTAAAACTAATAAGTCTGGGGCTGTTGTCCAACTGATAGAGTGCTTGCCTGGCAGGCAGAAAGCCCTGGGTTCAATCTCCAACACTGCACAAGAACTAGCTACATTATTAGTACATGCATGTAGTGCCTTCACTCGGTAGATGAGGCAGGAATTCAAAGTCTTCCTATGCTACATAGTGAGTTCAAGGCCAGCCTGAGATGTATGGGATGTGGTTTAATTGGTAGAGTCCTTGCCTGGCATGCATGAAGCCCTGGGTTGGATCCCCAGCACTGAATTAAATGAAAAATAGCAAAAAGGCATGGTGGTACAAGACCTGTAATCCCAGAACTGTGGAGTCGGTGCAGTGGAGGCAGAGGACTCAGTAGTCTAAACATGTTCAGATACATGTGCCCTGTCTCAGAATGCATACTTACACACATACATACATACATACATACATACATACACACACATACACACATACATACATACACACATACACACATACACACCTACATACATACACACATACACACACATGCATGCATATATACACTCATACATACATACACATGCATACATACATACATACATACACACATACGAGCAGACTGTAATACTGTGTGTCGTAACACACAGCTTTAATCCAAGCCCTCCAGAGGCAGAGGTACCGGGACATCTGAGTTCAAGTCCAGCTTGCCTTATAAAGTGAGTTCCAGGTCAGCCAAGGGCTACACAAAAGAAACCTTGTCTAGAAAAACAAACACCAACAAAAACCTGTAAAAATAAAACAAACCAAACTGATTTGAAATGCTGCTAGTGGTAGGGGTGCTGTCCCTGGCCGATTTCCTGCCACCCATGGTTGATTACCATAACTGGCTCATAAAATTCCTGAACATGTAATAACTGACTCTTAAAAACTGGCATAAGCCAGCTGTAGCCCTCCCTCACTGGACAGGCCCTACTCCCTGTGTAACTGGGAAAGGTGTTTACTGCCTCTATGCCTCAGTTTCTCTACCTGTAGGAGACTAGCAAGCTTCACAAGGCTAACAGGGGACTCGGGCAGTTCAGAGTGAAAGGGTGCTTCTCTTTTTAGTCCAGTTATGAATGAAAGTACTGAATCCCTCAGAGAAAGCTTCCAGCAGATGGAGTACATTCTTGTTTCCAGGACAACTCAGAACCACAGAGCAGAAAGGAAAATTGGACCTAAAAAGGCCAGAATCCAGGTCTTGGTGATCCCGGGGCCTCATAGGCTCTTGTTTTTCTTTAGGAAGCTTTGTCCTTTGCTGTTGTCTGTAACTGAAGTTCCGGGAAATCCGAATCATTCCAGGCTCTCTTCTGGCTTCCACAGAGACCAGGCAGGCACTCAGTGCAGAGATGCACGTGCAGGGAAAACTCCTAAACACAAAACATTTTTTTAAAAGGGGAAACTGGAGAGATGGATCAGCAGTTAAGATCCCTGGCTGCTCTTCCAGAGGATCCACACACACATGGGTTCACTTTCCACCACCCCAAAGTCAGCTCGAAACTGTGTGCAACTCCAGTTCCAGGGAATCTAACACCTTCACACAGACATACATGCATACAAAACACCAACACACATAAAATAAGTGTAATGAAGTCATCTTTTTTTAAGTAGGAGAAACCACCGAACACCAACCCACCCATATTTACACCCATTTGACAGCTTTACAAGCCCTCCTTTCAAGCAGCCAACAGCCCAGTTACACGTTTATTTTATTTTAATTTACTTAATTTTGATACAGGATCTTACTGATCCTGAGGCCAGGCTAGCCTCAGATTGAGAGCCTCTTGCCATAACCATCCCAGTACTGGGCTTTCAGACATTGCAGACATGTACCACCCTTTGTTCTTGCCTCCCAAGCGCTGGGATTAAAAACGTGTCAATATACTTGGCTTCACTACCTTTGTAAAAAGCAAAATTTTAGCTTGTGTGCATATGTATATGTCTATGCGTGTAAGCCAAACCACCTTTGTCTGGGCCTTTTGAAGGTCAGAAGAGGCATCAGATCCCTTGGAGCTAGAGTTACGGACAGTTATGTGTTGCTACGTGGTTGCTGAGAACTGAGCTCAGGTCCTCTGGAAGAGTAGCTAGTGCTTTTAACCACTGAGCCATCTCTCCAGCTCCTAATTTTTAAGATGAATTTCTTTATTTTGGGTACTGGGAATGAGCCGTAGGCTGTGTGTGTGTTCAATCACTGAACTAGACCCTTTGTCTCCAGTTGGCATTTTATTATTTATTTATTTATTTATTTGTTTTTTTTTTTTTTCGAGACAGGGTTTCTCTGTGTAGCCCTGGCTGTCCTGGAACTCACTCTGTAGACCAGGCTAGCTCTCTCGAACTCAGAAATCCGCCTGCCTCTGCCTCCCAAGTGCTGGGACTAAAGGCATGCGCCACCACTGCCCAGACCAGTTGGCATTTTATAACACTGATTTCAAATCGCTGAACGTGAGGGTGTTCTTAACACGATTCAACCACCTGGGGGACAGGTGCTGAGCAATGAAAAGAGGCAGGGCGCCATGCTTGAGTGGGGCCTAGAGCACTGCTGTGGGGTCAGATAGTAACCCTTTCTGCTGTGAGCTGTGAGAGGAACAGCAGCCCTGTTTAAGGGATTTATCTAGTGATGGTCAATAATGACCTGAGGGCAGCAGCCATTTGTCAGCCAGCAACTGTTGCACAGCTTTTGCAGATTTGAGAGAAAGCTACCCAGGATAGACTCTGATTGGCTCAGCTGGGTCCAAAGTCTGCCCCTGTTCAATCAGCTATGACCAGGAAGATAGGGTTTCCAGTCCATCTTTTGAGGTTGTATGAGTTCCTGATGAGGTGGAGATGCTATGAGCCAGGCGTTTTCTCCCACTACGTGATCATCTTATTCCCTTGATGAGAGGCTTGGACGGGGGATGCTAGGCTGACACAGAGAGTCACTCTGCTGCCTTACCACTCAGTTCAAGCACAGAGCTTGACCATTATGGGACATGAGGTTTGACCCTGGCCTCATCAGGGACTCTCTACCTCCACAGACCTGTTCATTGAGCGATTCTGCATGACAGGTGGGAATAGCCCCATCTGCTACCTCAAGGCCTACCACACCAACCTCTACTTGTCAGCTGATGCAGACAAAGTGCGAGAAGCCATTGATGAGGGTAAGTCAGAACGAGGAGGGAGGACATGGGAACACCTCCCCACACATAAAGGCGTCCCAGTGGTGAGAAGCCTGCAGCCGGAGCTCTGAACAGGCACTGGGGTTGCCAAGGTAACTGCAAGGGAAAATATGTGCATGTTCCTATGATCTGTCTTGTACAGTGAAAACAAAACCCTACCTCATCCTCTTGCCCTCCTCCAGCCCTGCAGTGTGTATTCATCAGCATCACCTAGCCTCCGTTTCCATGGGAACTTCCCTTCCGACCCAGAAAGCTACTACTTTCTAAGATCCCTCTGGGCTGATGGGAGTTCTGGTTCCTGTGTGGCCCATCACTGCGCCAATGAGAAAGAGGTAGCCCAACCTGAGAGGAAAACTCAAAAACAGTCATCTCCCAGAGCTGGGCTGGCCAGTGCTAAGGTGAGATTAGGGGACTCCATTACAAGTACTGATAATGAGAAGTCCATTCCATGTGCCCTGTTCAAGGGGCAGTTTGGGGTGACAGCCATAGTCTCAGTCCTCCCAATAGGATCCAGAGGAGGAAAGACTGGCTGTCCATTTGTCTGGATGTGCTCTCAGACTGAACACTCAGGGTTCTTGTCAACTTCCCTCTTTTCTGTCCATGTTGTCCCTTTGTCTGTGAGGTTTTGTTTGACCAGGACCCGGAAGGCATCTCCCTAGACACAGCACACCCTTTGGTTGAGATCTGGGGACTAGCCAACATATAGGTGTGCCTCTGTGCATTTGGAATTTGACCTTTGATCTAGAGACAGGAGAGTAGTTAGGTGGATATCCTGCTTAGAGCTGTGGGGCTCGAGTCATCTTGGCATTAGGTTGACAGAGCTGAGAAGGTATGTAGTCTGATACTCAGGATCTGGTCATACCCTGGGCATCCTTAGGCTAGTGAACCTGCTGTGAGACCTGTACTGCTAGCTCTTCTCAGAGCTCTGCAGAAGTCTATGTCTGTGGCCCTAGATTCCTACCAAGGAGCAGGATAGAAGTGGCCTTTCAAGAGATGAAGACTATGGAGGGGATTCAGCTGACTGTAGTCTGGAGCCTTGGTCCCTGGTGGGCGTCCTTGCATCCAAGAGGAACCCCAGTTGCAGAAAGTATATATTCTTTATCACATGTAGCTTATATTGCCTCCCAGGACCAAGCACACTATTTCACAGCCTGAACCACAGTGGCTTCAGTGTACCTGCATGCTTGGTAGCTGTAGACAGGGTGTCCACATCCATCTACCCCTTCTGCAGTCTGAGAGCTCATCCTCCTCATACAGACCTGAAAGACCCTTAATTTTACCTTGGTCCAGAGAAGGTATGTAACTTGGAATCAATTATGGGGGAGTGACCACACTTCCAGGCATGCTTCTCTATCTGCTGACCACATAGGGTGAGGAACTCCAAACAGAACAGTGACATAGGAGTCCTGTGCTTCCAGCCAAGAGTGTTGTGTAGATGGTCCACACCAGCATGGTCTTCAGTGTTATTCAAACTCCCTCATGCTAGCTGATAAACAGCTCTTCAGTGTCCATCCCAAGGACACCTCTAGAGCGCTCCACAAAGATGATATTAATTAGATATCCTTTAGATATTGATAGGGACCCTCGCAGTGCTACCTCAGAGCTATAGCAGCTGCCTATTATGGCCAGTAGCCATGTACTACCAATCTTAAAATGCTTTCAATAAGTCCTTGATAGGCTTGCCGTTAGGACAGCATGGGATACCCTCTGTGCCAAGTCTCAGACTACGTTCACCTCTCTCTGCCCAGGGATTGCAGCTGCCACCATCTTCAGCCCCAGCAGGGACGTGGTTGTGTCCCAGAGTCAGCTCCGCGTGGCCTTCGATGGGGACGCAGTACTCTTCTCCGATGAGTCAGAGCGCATCGTCAAGGCCCATGGGCTGGACAGATTCTTTGAGCATGAGAAGACCCATGAGAACAAACCTTTGGCACAGGTGCTACACATTCCCAGAACCCTTGAGTAACTCCTCATTCCCTGGAACCTGGACTGGTCTGAATCCAGGGCCAAACCCAGGCTAAGTCCACACACCTACCAGGTCCTATTACTAAGAGCCAAGCCTCTTCTCTCCTTAGTTTTTCAAGTCAGAGTGTCTCTGTGTAGCCCTGGCTGTCCTGGAACTTGGTTTGTAGACCAGACTGGCCTAGAACCCAGCTGTCCGAGAACTTGCTTTGCAGACCAGACTGGCCTTGAACTCAGAGATCCACCTCCTTCTGCCTCCTGAGTTCAATCCTCGTCTCTCTCACTTGGCTCCTTGCTCCTTTCATTGAGACTCCACCCCTTCACTAAGTTCCACCTCCTCACAAAAGTGCCATTCTCCACCTCTTGGGGTCCCCAGCATCTCTCCAAGCACCTCACTGAAGCCTCTCCTGCCTCCCTGCTTTACTCCTTCAAACCCCTGTCTAAGGTCTCCTTCACCTCTCAGAAGCCGGCATGCCTCACTCTGAGTCTTGAACCCTCTCTGAAATTTCTACTCCTCCTCAAATCTCTCTCTCTCTCTCTCTCTCTCTCTCTCTCTCTCTCTCTCTCTCTCTCTCTCTCTCCTCCCTCACCTCCCCTCTCTCACACACAGACTCCTTTTAATCCACTGTCCTTTCCCTGTGACCCTCAACTCCTCTCTTGGGGTACCCTTCTGAGTAAGGCCTCATCCTGCCAGAAGCTCCTGTTTCCTTCACTGGGAGACAAGAACTCCCTATTGCACCATCATAGGGAGCCAGAGCTACGGGTTCCCTTGGACCACCTCTTGTCATGCCTTAAGTGGCTCAGGGAACCTCACCTGCCCTTCTGTTTTTCAATGGCTCTCTGAGAACAGAACATGTTTTGGAGCTTGGTAGAAATTTCCTGTGGGTAGAGCAATGGGATTTCCCAGCTCTGCTGGGAACTCCAATTTGAGCTTTTATAGAAATCTAGGTGCCCAGAGCAGGACACTTTCCCACTAAGTGGTTAATAGAGACCCAGAAGAACACAGCTTACTCCAGGTTTCCTGGCTAGGAAAATCCCCAAGACTGGCAGTCTGCTTCCCTGGTTGAAAAAGAGCTACATTCTGCACCGTCCAGTTCTTTCTTCACATATTCTCAGTAGTTTCACAGTTGTGAGCACTGTCTTGGACCCCAGAGCTTGAGCCCAACACCCTGAGCCACTCATGCGTCTGTCCACAGGCAAGCTCGTATTCAGTGGTTACACACTGGCCCATCTGGCCCAGATGTTCACAGATAAATAGATTCTTCTCTGATTGGCAGGTACACGCGCCATCATTACTAGCTCGTTCTAATTGCTTCAATGCTGATGAGCACAGAAGACCACACTTACAGGGCTGTAGGATAACTTGCTGCAGGAGACATGAATGGGTAACCATAGCAACAGTTGCCCTGGTTATGGTTGCTCTCACACAGCCCCAATCACATTAAGACAGACCCCAGCCTAAGGTACCTACAACCCTGTACGCACACAGGAGACAACACAGGCAGACAGAAACTATCAAAGGATTTAGGGATTTCCCACCCCAACAGCCAATCACAGAGGCTTTAGGATGAAAGGGTAAATGTTTAGGAGAGGTGGATTAATCAGCATCTCTGTCTCCTTTTTGCCTCAGGGCCCCCTAAAGGGCTTCCTGGAAGCACTGGGTAGACTGCAAAAGAAATTCTACTCCAAGGGCCTGCGGCTGGAGTGCCCGATTCGCACTTACTTGGTGACAGCGCGCAGTGCAGCCAGTTCTGGAGCCCGGGCCCTCAAGACCCTGCGCAGCTGGGGCCTGGAGACAGATGAGGCCTTATTCCTAGCTGGAGCACCCAAGGGTCCCCTTCTTGAGAAGATCCGCCCACACATCTTCTTTGATGACCAGATGTTCCACGTAGCTGGAGCTCAGGAGATGGGCACTGTGGCAGCCCATGTGCCTTATGGTGTGGCTCAGAATCCCCGGCGGGCTGCCGCTGCAAAGCAGTCACTAGGTGCACAGTAGCTGAGCCGCCTTGCTCCAGGCCCCCTGTCACACTTCTGCACCTCATCCGGCGAACTTTTCTGGCTCCTCACTGTCCACCCTCTTGCATGCCGCCTTCATCCCTCTGTGTCAGGCACTCTTAGAAAGTTACGAAGACAGAGCCAGCAGTCTTAAAGTCCCTCCCACGCAAACACTGCCTTGATCCGGGTTAGGAAAGCAGGACTCTGCAGGGTAGCTTGGATGTCAGGGAGAAATTGGTGGGACAGAGAGTGGTGTAATCAGAGATGCCAGGATGCCAAAGGGCTTGGGATGAAAATTATCTCATGTAGTGCAAAGACCATTGTTCGAAAGTGGGTAGATTTAACATCTAAAGCAGACCTGGCATGAACTGCATGCCTTAAGTCCCTTGTTTTCCTAAGCCTCATTTATTTCCATCCTTTAGGTGGTTTTCAATTTGTTCTTTAGCCAAAGAAGCTTGGTTTTATAAGATTATGCACTAAATTAATCACTGTGCTGGGGCTGCTAGTACCTATGGCACTTGTGTAGATTACAAAAGGACATTGTCTAAGTGAATGAATTACAAAACCAATGGCCCTTCCTCCCTGGCCTGAACCAAGACATAGGCTAGATTCCAGCCCTTTGCCCCTCAACCCTGAGGCCCATCAAATGGGAAATGTGCACAGTGCTACACAGAAGCTCTGTATATATTTTCCCATGTTTAGAAACCACTGTACAAGATGACCTTTTGCTTGCTGTGAGCTGTGATTTACTTACTTGAGCCTTGGAGAGCTCGAAGGTTTGTCTGAAGAAGGGAGGAATGTTGCCCACATGTAAATTCTCCTATAGCCAGCAGGGGGCACTGCAGGCTCTCCCTGGAGAAGGCTTTAGCGGCTTACCAGCTCTGGGTTTCCTTTGCCTTCATCTTTTAGGCAAAGTTCAGTTAGTCCTGTCTGCCAGTCTCCTCATCTCAGTCCTGGGTCTGCCAATCACTTCCACCTGCCATGCTATAAGGACGTTCTCCTAGCAGAGAAAGAACTCTAGTCCCAAATTTGGAGAAAGTGGAGGCTCTAAATCGAGTTGTTGTCCAGGCTGAACCTGAGGTGTGCTACAGCGAGATATGGGAAGTGTCAGGTCTGTTCTGAAACCAAAGATGCTAAGGAAGTGATAGCTTACAGAGGAACGAGCTGACCGAGCACAGGAAGTGATAGCTTACAGAGGAACAAGCTGACGGAGCACCAGCATGACTCTGCTGTGGATAGTGAGTAGAAGCCAGACAGAGCTACCCTGGAAGTGATAAGCTGTCATCGGGGTGCTGTGCAAAGGATTCTGGGATGAGATGACCTCCCTGAGAAGTACCAGAGATTACGCCATCTTTGCATGAATCTCCACAACCCTTTCTTCTCCAGAAGATGAGTGGTGGACCACACCCTCCTTTGCTAAGCAGCCCTGGCACTCAGAGGATGGATGGTTGGTCCCCTATGAAGACAAGAAGGGGCAAGCAGACATGAATGCATGCATTGGTTGCCTGGCTACCACAGGGATTTCAGAAGCATCATCAGAAGGCCAGGAGCTGAGGAAGGCCAGAGAGGAGCCTGGAGGTAGGGTGAAGGGTGTCCGGGGACTCTAACCTCTGTCCTTCTAGGCATTTGAATCAGGGTCTGAATGAGTACATGTTCTGGGCAGTGTGTCCCAGGATGACAGCTGCAGGAAGGAGAAAAAAGAAGATGCAGGGACTCCCAGAAATGAGCACCATCTTGGGCCAGAAGAGAAACCCTGGGCCAGGCTTGCGCTACCATGTCTGTGGCTTGCAGATGCTATTCCTGGAACATACGTGAGGTTGGCACCCACCACAGCTGCTTTACGGAGCCACTGGAAGTATTGCAGTCACAAGGTCGCTTTCATCATTATAGCCAGGACATCAGAGGAGGCCTGGGGGGTGGGGTAGAACAAAGCCTGTAAGGGGATTCCTGCACTACTGGTACCCCACACCAGAAATGCTGTGATGCCAGAGATGCTGTGTGACCTAAGAACAGATGCAAGGGAAAGAAATGGGGAAGAGAGAGGAAGCCAAAGCAATAATCAGAATAGCAAATGTGGTAAACAGTTCTGCCCCAAATCCCTAGGTATCCCTTGATAATGTCAGCTGCCCACACCCCTCTACTGGAAACGCATCTTCCTGTAATCCAGCCTGCCTGGGGATGTACCAGTACTGTGGCCCATGTTTACTCCCTTGAGGTATCCTAACCATACAGATTCAGGGAACTACCATAACTTGCTCAACATTACCCAGCTAGCAGGTGTCAGCGCTGGAACAACAAAGCTACCTTTACAGTGGATCCAGAATCCACTACAAACATAGCAAGCTGACACGGCTGAAGTCACCATCCCATCATGACAGTTCCCCTTACAAAGCTCAGGCATGGCCTCAGACTCTTCAGGCAGCATTTCAGGCAGCCTGTCCCAGCTGGGGGTCACGTGAAAGTTGGAACCTGGTTTACTAGCTGCCTTTGAGGACCACTGCTTTCCAGCAGGCATGCATGGTCTTTGATGGTCCTTCTCTGATGCCGTGGTGCAGCTCCAAGGAGTCCAGCTTCTCACTTGTCTCCAGCAGAATGCAAGGATGAGAAGGAGGGGGTTGAAGTCGAAGATGAGGATGAGGATGAAGATGAGGATGAGGAGGACCATTGGATCCGTGGCTGGCAACTTCACTGGAAAGGGTACCTGAGACAGTGTCCTGAATTCTACCCTTAAGGCAAGGTGCAGAAACCTCTCTTACCAGTAGGTGACACTACAGACTGGCACTCAGCTGTGCCCATAGTACATGGCTTACTTTTCTCTCCTTCTGTGCTATTGATTACTGTGCTGGACTCTAGCAGCCAAGAAGGACTTCCGGTGCTCTGACAATGTTCATGAAACATCTCTGTATGATGAGCTGACGGCTCTCACCGAAAACCACTGTGATAGTGTGTATGGAGAAACATTTATGAACGTGTGCCTCTGCATGGACTGAGTATGTGTTTATGGGTGTAACAGCTCCTATTTCTCTACTGATGACTCTGTGTGCGCAAGTGTGTCTGTGTCTCTGTGTGTCATGCACACTTGCAAGCTTGGAGTGTGTACAGACAGTTCTGCTATTTGAGGATCCTGGGCTCCTTATGCTGATGACTAGGGACTCTGGGACTCTGATCATTTCATGGGCATCACCTGAGGCCCCTGAGGCCAGGGCTCTCAGTCTTCCTCTCTAGCTTTCTGCTTCTGGTCCATGTCTGCTGTCTCTGACCTCTCTGTCTCCTACTCCTGTGGCTCTGTAGCTTTAGGGAAGAAGTGTCAGAATCTGCCTCCACCTGACTCAATCTCCACGAACCTCTTCCCTCCTCCCAACAATGCCAGGGTTAATATGGTCCGATTAGGAGCTATCTAACACTAGGAAAGCTGGCTTCCTTCTGGGCTTCTTGCTCTTGCCAGACATGCTTCACCTTTGACCTTGACTGGAAAGTGTCTCCCTGATGCCCCCCACTTCACCCCCACCCAAAAGGCTTTAGAGATTGAATGAATCATGTTTGCAAAATAAGAGATTCTCTGCAGATCGGTGTCTCACATTTCTGGCCAAGGCTGAATATGCCTTCGTGGCTGTTTGCCACTTCTCAAGGCTAGGCTTGTAGCTGACAGTGATCAGAAAGTTGCCAAAGTCATAGCAAACATACTGTGTGTCAGGGGTCACAAACCCTATGTCTACAGGAGCCACACAGGGAACAGGCGCAAAGGGCATTGCGCAAGGTCTTGAAAAGAAAAATAGCATCAAGAGTCCAGGATACCCTGCCGTGTAGGAATTTGGGCTGGTGGGCCCTGGTGTTCCATCTTGTTTTGTTTTGATTTGTTTTCTGAGAAGTTAGAAATCTGAACTTTCAATATTGGCAACCATTTCAAGTTTAGAAAACTTTGTACAGGCCAAAAGAAGCTTCTGTTGTTAGCCAAATCCACCCCTCCTATCTCCAGTTTACAACCGAAGCCCAGTGAATTGGGACTTTTAGACCCAAGTAACTGAGGATAGAAGGGACATTACTCTCAGAATCACAGCTTGAGGTCTTTAAGAAACCTTAGAGATGCCGTAAAATATCCCTGGTGTATTTTAAGTGCTTGGGTACAAGCCGGGCTTGGAAGTGCACACCTAATATCCCAGCACTAAAGAAACTGAAATTGGAGGAGGCTAAATTCAAGGCCAGCCTCGCCTACATAGCAAGACTCTATTTTTTTTTCTTTAAGTGTGAATGATACTGAATATGGTTGGTGGTACATGCCTTTAATCCCAGCACTCTTAAGACCGAAAAGTAGGTGGATCTCTGTGAGTTCAAGGCCAATCTGGTCTATAGAGCAAGCTCCAGGATTGTCAGTGCTGCACAAGGCCCTGTCTTCCTCCTCCCCCCCTTTGGTTTTTCAAGACAGGGTTTCTCTGTGTAGCCCTGGCTGTCCTGGAACTTACTTTGTAGACCAGGGTGGCCTCCAACTCAGAGATCCACCTGCCTCTGCCTTCCAAGAGCTGGGATTAAAGGCATGCACCACCACTGCCCAGTTTTGTTTTATTTTATTTTATTTTATTTTATTTTATTTTATTTTATTTTATTTTATTTTATTTTGGTGGCCCACACTTTTAACCCCAGCACTCAAGAGGCAAATCTCTGAGTTCAAGGCCAGCCAGGGTCTCACTCTGTCTCTCTGATCTACAGAATGAGTTCCAGGAAGCCCAGGACTACAAAGAGAAACCCTGTCTTGAAAAAAAAACAAAACAAAACAAAACAAAAATAAAATAAAACAAAAACTGAATGAATGGGCACAAATTTTATTTTTAAAATAACACAATTATAAACATAACTTCCAGTTATACTCTTTCGACAGTGTCGGAGCATCCTCTATTTAGAATAAGATCTAGGACGAAGCTCACACCTAACAGTAGCCCCTGCCTGTCCCTGTTCTCTGCTGCCCTGGGTTCCTTCTCCTGACCTGTCCGCCTTGCTGTTTGGCAT